TTCCAGTCTGGTCTTAGCTGGTCAGGCTGGAAAATGACCAGCTAAATCCAGCTAAAACCAGCTTGACCAGCCTGGTTTAAGCTGGATATAGCTGGTTTTGGCTGGACTCCCAGCTTGGCTAGGCTGGTCAAGCTGGTTTTAGCTGGTCATCTCCCAGCCTGAAAAGCTAAGACCCGGCTGGAAATGGCTGGAAACCAGCCTGGAAGTGGCCAAAACCCCTCTAAAACCAGCCAACCAGCCTAGGCTGGTTTAGGCTGGATTTTTCAGCAGGGATGGGGGGTCAGCCCTTTAATAGTATAGTAAGAAATAGCTTTCTCTGATCCATATGTTAATTATTAATAGCTAAAATGTATTATATAAATAAACATTTGACCGCCCTCCCCTATAACGGGCTATACCATTGTGAATGCTAGGAAAATATCCCTCAACAGTCTGAAACTGGAGTTCTAGAGCACCAGTAGACATCTCAAGTGTTCACAAAACACGTTTCTTGTAAAATAGCTGTTTATATCTGCATGTAGCATTAAAAAAAAGAAAATTAGACACATCATTTATATAGTCTGACCTACAGTAACCTCTAAAATAGTCACCAAATATCCCTCAAAACACTGAAAACTTGTACATTTTATTAATAAAATAGTTGTAATTCAAATATATACATACATTTAATTCACTGAAGCATGTATTACTACCAAACAAATGGACACCCACCTCCAGATCATCAGTATACACTTCACACACAAGTTATAGTGAACAGATAAACTAATAAATACTGTAGTATACTTCAATTTTAGTACAGTAAATCCTATAAATACTGTTATAAAATATTATATAGTTATAGAAAACTTATACAGTATTGGAAAATGTGTTTACAGTTGTTGTATTAGCAACTGTAGAATCACCACAACAGATTAAATGATGTACTTTACTATGGTATGGTTCAAAAACACTTACAATAGATTACTGTGGTATTTTATTCATGTGTATTTCTTGGTTTGAGTGCAATATAAGCATTGTGACTTTTAAAAACAAGTGACTGGAGTTAAATGTAAAACTAACTAAAGACGTTGCACGTGTCTGAGTCCATTAATAGTTCCAGCATCACCTGCAGGGCTGTTTTCAGGAATCCTGCAGACTATATATAAGCCCAGTGTGTGGCTTTTTGTCATTTAAATGGATCAGGGTTCAGTCATTCCTATCTAAAGCCCTGAGTGCTGTGATAAATGGAAAGTATTTTGATTGTCTATTTTGGCATGGAGCAGGTCAGATGCTATCAAATAACAACCGTAGCATTCCTATGCTATTCACACCGCACGCCGATCACATTCAAGACCAGAGTAAAGGGAAGTAGACATAGTAAATATTCTGTGACAGTAATTTTCCTGGTATCAGTACGTCACTATTCATTTTTCTGACAACTTATTACTTTTACTCATATCAGTTTTATGCAAATTTCCGTATTTTCTACTTATTCCTTTCGTTATAATGTGTTTGTTGGCACAATCTATATTATTTCTTGTATTTTCTTTGCCTTTTTGATGCAATCTTCAGCTTTTTGAGAAGCATTGCTGGACAACACTGCAGAGTGATGTTGCTTAGCTGCTTTCTTGCTAAAATAAAGACATCAAAATGATAAAAGTGAGGTTTTTGTATAAATGTATAAGATGTGTGGTCTAGTCATTAGTGTGAAACTAAAACAGGCAGTAATGGATATGTTTTTACATACACATACACATGTGAGGCCGTACTTTATTACGTTTACATGTGTACAAAAGTGTAGTCAGTACTTCAACTTTTACCAGAGTCTTTTTAAACATGAGGATCTACACCTGTCCAACTGCTTGTTAATGCAAATTTGTAATCAGCCAATCACATGGCAGCGCGCCAATGCATTTAGGCATGTCGACATGGTCAAGACGATCTGCTGCAGGGCAAAGAGAGCATCAGAATGGGGAAGAAAGGAGATTTAAGTGACTTTGAACGTGGCATGGTTGTTGCTGCCAGACGGGCTGCTCTGAGTATTAACACGTCCAACCTTGAGGCGGATGGGCTACAGCAGCAGAAGAGCACACTGGGTGCCGCTCCTGTCAGCTAAGAACAGGAAACTGAGGCTACAATTCACACAGGCTCACCAAAACTGGACAATAGGAGATTGGAGAAACGTTGCCTGCTCTGATGAGTCTCCATTTCTGCTGACACATTCAGATGGTCGGGTCAGAATTAGGCATCAACAACATGAAAGCATGGATCCATCCTGCCTTGTATCAGCGGTTCAGGCTGGTGGTGGTGGTGTAATGGTGTGGGGGAGATTTTCTTGGCACACTTTGGGTCCTTTAGAACCAATTGAGCATCATGTCAACGCCACAGCCTACCTGAGTATTGCTGCTGACCATGTCCATCCCTTTATGACCACAGCGTACTCATCTTCTGATGGCTACTTCCAGCAGGATAACACCATGTCATAAAGCGTGAATCATCTCAGACTGGTTTCTTGAACATGACGATGAGTTCACTGTACTCAAATGGCCTCCACAGTCACCAGAGCTCAATCCAATAGAGCACCTTTGGGATGTTGTGGAACAGGAGATTCAGCAACTGTGATGCTATCATGTCAATATGGAGCAAAATCTCGGAGAAATATTTCCCGTATCTTGTTGACTCTCTGCCATGAAGGATTAAGGCAGTTCTGAAGGCAAAAGGGGTCCAACCCGGTACTAGTAAGGTGTACCTAATAAAGTGGCCGGTAAGTGTATACTTCTAGGTGAGTAAAGAAAGTATGTTTGTACTTTTGCCATCTCCATTAAAACGCGCGATGCTCGTGTTTCTCTTCGAGATGCGTTTAATAGACTGACGCTTACGTTAATCAGATTCAATTAAACGTGTCGCTAATCTTCCCAGGCGCTGATAAACGGACACCAGAACGTTTTGATTAGGGTTTTCAATACTTTTTGTTTCTTAAAAACAACTAAAGGCGCACAAAACACTGTAGATCTGATTGTGTGTCCCGCCGTGAACCTCATGTGCAGTGACCGGAATTTGACTGACGCCAGGCGCGCGCACTGACACTAGAGCGCGTGGCATATATTGTACTGTACGTCACGTGACACGCAAAGCATGCTTGTTGTGTACACGTCAGCTTTGCGAGTTACTTTTTATTTAATAATTATCAAATGACAAAATAAATTACATATTAATTCACAACCATTTTCATCCATATTTATTTGTTTTATTATTATTTATTTTATTATTATGCATTCAAACATGATTAGACTCGAGGTCCAAATCTTAAAAAAAAAAAACTACATTTTCGCAAACTTTTATAATTAAAACTCATAATAATAAAATATAGTAAAAATTCTCAAAGTATCATTATGGGCAGCATTTAGCATGTCTTCGGCATAGCATTTAGCATTATTAAACATTGTTGATACTATTTCTAATATGTGTAATGGTATATGGTGATTCATATGACTTCTTATTATAAGAAGAAATTAATGAAAGTCTCTCTGAAAAGGGAAAACATACTAGCGAAAGATTTGCTCATGAATAATTAGTAGACCTAATAAATATTCATGAGCTCCACCCGGATCAATGGCGCAAACTGTGCCTTAAACATGACCGTCCTGCACTAAATAATCAAACAGAAGCAGCGCTGTATAACACACTCAGTTTATTGCGATCAAAAGAACATCCTCACACCTGATCTACAGGTTTACACACAAGAAAATAAACACATGATGAATTGCAAACAGAGCATCATGCGGGTTTAGTGGAGACTCCAGCTGTGTATAGCGCACAGTGCTGTGGGCAGATTTCACCACTGTAAACTAAAGGTAAGAATCTGCTCGATCAGTAAAATGCCCACAACACTGCAGACAGACCTGTGCGTGCATGTATGTATGTATGTATGTATGTATGTATGTGTGTGTGTGCGTGTGTGCATATGTATCTGTGCATCTATGTGTATGTCTCTGTGTGTGTGTGTATTTGTGTATCTGTGTGTATATATGTGCGGGTTTGTGCGCTTCTGGTTGTGTATGTCACTGTGAGTGTGTATGTGTGTCACTTTGTGTGTGTGTGTGTGTGTATGTATTTGTGTATCTGTGTGTATATATGTGCGGGTTTGTGCACTTGTGTGTGTGTGTATGTCACTGTGAGTGTGTATGTGTGTCACTTTGTGTGTATGTATTTGTGTATCTGTGTGTATATATGTGTGGGTTTTTGCGCTTCTGTGTGTGTATGTCACTGTGAGTGTGTATGTGTGTCACTTTGTGTGTGTGTGTGTATTTGTGTATCTGTGTGTATATATGTGCAGGTTTGTGCGCTTCTGTGTGTGTATGTAACTGTAAGTGTGTATGTGTGTCACTTTGTGTGTGTGTGTGTGTATTTGTGTATCTGTGTGTATATATGTGCGGGTTTGTGCACTTCTGTGTGTGTGTGTGTCACACACTCTCTGTGTATGTGTGTCACTTTGTGTGTGTGTGTGTGTGTATGTATTTGTTTGTCTGTGTCTCTGTGTGCGTGTGTATCTGTGTGTATATATATGTGCGGGTTTGTGCGCTTCTGTGCATTTCTATGTGTGCGTCTCTGTGTATGTGTCACTTTGTGTGTATCTTTGTATTTGTGTGTGTGTATTGCCCTGTCTCTGTGCGTGTATTTGTGTGTAGGTCAATATGTGTTTGTGTATCTTTGTAACAGTGTGTGTATGTATTTGTGCGTGTCTCTGTGTATCTCTCTATGCGTGTGTCTGTGTGTATCTGTGCTTGTCTGTGTGGGCGCGCTTCTGTGTGTCTATGTCACTTTGTGTATCTATGTGTGTCTGTATTTGTGTGTGTGTGTGTGTGTGTGTGTGAATGTACAGTATATGGGTTTCTGTGTGCATTTGTGTTTGTATAGACGTGTGTGTGTGTGTGTATATCTCTGTGTGTCTGTACGTCTGTCCGTATGTGTGTGTGTGTGTATTTGTGTGTCTGTGTTGCTCATAATAACAGCATCAGTAGTGATTTTGAAGTCCTTTTAAGGCACTCAGATGTACAGCAGTGTGTGATGTCCAGAGAATATAGTAAACAGGTCAGCGGAGCATCTCAGCAGCATGAAACAGCACAACACAACACACACACTTCATTAAGACAGATGCAGGAAACCATTAATCAATCAGACACACACACTCTCCATGCTAACAAACAAACAAACAAACAAACCCCTGTGATGCAGGAGTGATGCAGCACTGCAAAAACAAAAAATAAATCCATTCAGCACTTCTCTTTCCAACAGTGTTGTGTTGAGTGTGTAAAACGCAATACACACTCCATTATAGTGTTCCTCAAAGCATCACTCTTAAAGGGACAGTACACCCAAAAATGAACACTGCCTCATCATTTACTCTCCAGCATGGGATTTTAAACATATAGGAGTGTATGTCATCTGTTGAACACAAAAGCAGATATTTTGAAGAATGCTGGTTGCTGGCATCAATTGACTTTCATAGTAGGAAGAAATTACTATGGAAGTCAATGGGTGCCAGCTACTAGTGTTTAAATAAATAACTTCTGTTGTGTTCGACAGATTATTAAACCTATTTGAGTTTATTTTTGTGAGTAAACGATGACATGTTTAATTCTTTTGTAGGTGAACTGGCCCTTTAATTACAAAAACTAGAGAGGCAGAACAATAAAAACAGCTTTAAACTCAAATCTCATGTCATATTTCACACCACAATAAGAAAATAAGGCTCTTTTGTTTGTCATGTAAGCTACTTTCCAGCTAGATTCTTTGGATTGTATGAGATTCACCTTTACATGAAATCCCCTGATAAATATAATATTAATAGACCTATTTATATGTGTTAAATCTGAAATGATTCACAGGTGATTGTCATACAGTAATGCAGCATGACCCAAAGGATTATATCAATAAACATACTTAAATTTGAAGAGATAGCTCACCCAAAACTAAATATTCTGTCAGTGTTTACTCATCCTCCACTTGTTTCTTCTGAGGAGCACAAAAGAAGATATTTTGAAGAATGTTTAAGGGAAATAACAGCTATTGTTTTCTTTTGTTCCTGTTATTATTGTCAATGGCTGCTTTTTTCCCCCAAACATTCTTCGAAATATCTTCCTTTGTGTTCGACAGAAGAACAATATACATGAGTTTAGTACCACCTAAGGGTAATTTCAATTTTGGGTGCACTGTCCCTTTAAATGTGGATGATTTGACTCTGTGTCTTGGGTTTCATTCTGTAGTGCAGATTTAACCAAGACTAGATCAGAAAAACTGATATTATATAAAAGAAGAGCTTTGGTTTGGTTTAAAAGAGCGAGGTTTTACACAAAGCCACAGTTTTCAGGCCTTTGTGTTGAATATTAAAGTGTTAGTTCACTCAGAAGTGAAAATTCTGTCAGTGTTTAAACATACTCCACTTGTTTCCTCTGAGGAACACAAAAGAAGGTATTTTGAAGAATGTTAGGGGGAAATCAGCCATTGACTTCAATAGTATTTTTCTGGTCAATAGCTGCCTTTTTCTAAACATTCTTCCAAATAACTTATTTTGTTTAACAGAAGAGCAATATACAGAGGCTTTCAACAATATACATATGTATAAGTACATAATAAGCGCTTGAGGGCGAGTAATGAGGAGGAAATATTCATTTTTGGGAGCACTATCACTTTAAATGTGTAGTAGGGATCGCAAAACTCTAATGATGCGACTGAAAAGTGACTTGGGTTTCATTCTGTAGTGCAGCTTTAACCAGGACTAGATCAGAATAACTGATATAATATTAAAATAAGAGCTTTGGTTTGGTTTGAAAGAGCGAGACTAAAACGTTTTAAACAAAGCCACAGTTTTCTGCCCTTTGTGTTGAATATTGGAGTTGAATATTAAAGTGTTAGTCCACCCAAAAGTGACAATTCTGTCAGTGTTTACTCATCCTTCACTTGTTTCTTCTGAGGGACACAAAAGAAGATATTTTGAAGAATGTTTGGAGGAAAAAAAACGCCATTGACTTTAATAGTATTTTCTATAATATAATGTCAATGGCTGCCTTTTTTTGAGCCATTCTTCGAAATATCTTCATTTGTGTTCAACAGAAGAACAATATACATGAGTTTGCATAAGTATTCAACAATAAACATAAGAACCACTTCAGGATGAGTAATGATGAGGAAATCTTCATTACTGGGTGCACTGTCCCTTTAAATGTGTAGTACAGATAGCACAACTCTGATGATTTGACTCAGATAGTATCTTGGGTTTCATTCTGTAGTGCAGCTTTAACCAAGACCAGAACAGAAAAAAACTGATATAATATTAAAAGAGCTTTGGTTTGGTTTGAAAGAGCTAGGCAAAAAGTTTTAACCACACAGTTGTCTGGCCTTTTGTTGAATATTAAAGTGTTAGTGGAAAATTCTGTTATTAATGACTCTCTCTCATTTTCTAAGAGCTTCATTCATCTTGGAAACACAAATCAAGACATTATAGATGAAATCGGAGACCTCCATAAACAGCAATAATCCGGACTCAACATGCGCAATATACTGACATTGAGGAGGAGAGACCGTTGCATTAATGCATCATGTTTATTTTATGTGCACACAAAAGTTCTCGCAGCTTGAGATGTTATTTCGATTAACCCACTGAAGGCACATGGACAATTTTGAGGGTGTTACTTTGGTATTTTTCTGGAAAGTTGATCAATCAGGACTGTTGATGTAAATGGAGGATGAGGGAGCTCTCGAATTAAATCTGAAATATCTTAATTTGTGTTTTAAAGCCGAAAAGCGTCACTGAGCATGCATAGCTAAGAGGGTATACATGACCATGCACAATATACTGACACTGAGGAGAAGAAACTGTTGCATAAAGTCGTCATTTTTATTTTATGTGCACAAAAGTATTCTCGAAGCTTGAGATATTACTCCGACTGAACCACCGAAGGCACATGGACTATTTTGAGGATGTTTTTTGGTAGTTTTCTGGAAATTTAATCGAGTCATTGAATGTCAGTGGAGGATGAGGGAGCTCTCGAATTTGATCAAGATGATCTCAATTTGTGTTTCAAAGACAAACTAAAGTCTCTGGGTGCAGATATCCAAGAGATTATACACATATGCGCAATATACTGACACTGAGGAGATAAACTGTTGCATGAAGTCGTCATTTTTATTTTATGTGCACACTAGAGTATTCTCATAGCTTGATATAATATTCCGACTGAAGGCACATGGACAATTTTGAGGATATTTTTTGGTGTTTTTCTGGAAATTTGATCGGGTCATTGAATGTTGATGTAAGTGGAGGATGAGGGAGCTCTCGAATTTAATGAAAATAATCTCAATTTGTGTTTCAAAGACAAACGAAAGTCTCAGGCTGCAGATATCCAAGACGGTGTACACGAATATGCGCAATATACTGACACTGAGGAGGAGAAACTGTTGCATAAAGTCGTCATTTTTATTTTATGTGCGCACTAGAGTATTCTTGTAGCTTGAGATATTATTCTGACTCAACCACTGAAGGCACATGGAGAATTTTGAGGATGTTTTTCGTTATTTTTCAAGAACAAGTCGGGACTGTTGATGTAAATGTAGGGTGAAGGATCTCTCAGATTTAATCTGAAATATCTTAACATGTGTTTTAAAGACGAAGGAAAGTCTCTGAATGCTGATATCCAAAAGGGTATACATGAACATGCGCAATATACTGACACTGAGGAGGAGAAACTGTTGCATAAAGTCGTTAAGTTTTTTTTTTTGTGCACACAGAAGTATTCTTGTGGCTTGAGATATTACTCCGACTGAACCACTAAAGGCACATGGACAATTTTGAGGACGTTTATTGGTATTTTTCTGGAAATTTGGTCAGGAATATTGCGGTCTATAGAGGATAATATCTAAAATATCTTAATTTGTGTTTTGACATAAGTCTCAGGGTGCAGATATCCAAGACTGTATACACGAACATGCGCAATATACTGACACTGAGGAGAAACTGTTGCATAAAGTGGTCATATTTATTTTATGTGTGCTCTAGAGTATTCTTGTAGCTTGACCAATTCTTCGGAGTGAACCACTGAAGGCACATGGAGAATTTTGAGGATGGTTTTTCGTTATTTTTTTGCAAATTTGATCTAGTCTGGACTGTTCATGTGAATGGAGGATGAGGGAGCTCTCGGACTTGATAAAAAAAAAAAATCTCAATTTGTGGTTTGAAGACAAACAGAGGGAGTTTGAAACATGAATAATTAATAACAGAATTTTCATTTCTTTGTGTGAACTAACGTTTAATCTCTGTGTGTGTGTGTGTGTGTGTGTGTGTGTGTGTGTGTGTTTATCACTGTATTTCACTGAAGCGCAGCCTGTGAAACGCTTCCCTCACGGAGTCCTCTGCATCCTGAGAGATCAGTTCATCCGCTGTTACTCCATAAACTTCACTCTCCTCCACGTCTTTCTTGATCTTCCTCTTGGTCAGAATCACCGGCTCACTGTCGTCTGTGTGTCGCCGTCCGTCTGGTCCTGTCAGGACGAGGTAAGAAGCATGTCGACCTCGCTCCAACAGCGTCGCTAAAAACATCGCAGAGACATTAAGGTGATTAGATTTAATAACCAAAATAAAGCACTAAACTAATTTAGATATGATACTGATACTAATTTTGCTATGGCATCTACAGTGCTCAGCTTAAGTGAGTACATCCCCTATTGAAAATGAATATTTGTGTCCATTTCTCAGTGAATATAGATGACAATTGTTGGTGCATTTAGCCCTTGTGTGCTGTTAGCAGGGCCGGAGTGGGACTCCTTTTTAGCTCTGGAGTTTCAAGCCTTAGACCGGCCCACCTCATTCGACAACTGACTATATTAAAATAACGTCAATTCCAATTCAGTTTCTAATGACACTAACGCGTCTTTTTCAAGGACACAGCTGCTTTAGAACTTCAAATGTTTTTCATAAATATGAGAACATTAATTCTTTATAGATGTCCAGTCCTTTGTAACGGTCGTCACACACAAAAAAAATATGAACACCTACATAAGTAACCCAAACAGTATTTAATGTCTTAACACTGAAAATAACGCTTAACGCTGTTAAGCACTGCAATGTTTTCTGCTGCTATTGAGGTCCATACTTTTTTTACCCTACTATTTTTCTCCCCTTTTTACATTTTTGATCAAGTTATGTCAGATTTATTAATGTAGTGAATCATCTGATTTTCATTGAGCAGGTGTAATATTCATTAATATTCATTAATATTCACTAAGGTGCCGCTGTTTGAGGTGGAATGGGGTGCAGCCCGCAGGTTAATGATGATCATCATTAACCTGCAGGCTGCATTTTGCTCACGGGGCTGCGAGAAAATAAATAAAAAGAGCAGAGCTGCGGCAAAATAATGAATAAAAAGAGTGAGGCTATGGTAAAATAAATAAATAAATGAAAAAAGTGTGACTGCTGAGAGTGCGAGCAGCTAAATCAAAACTGCCAACGCAGTTGCCAACAAATCTTATTTTAACACATATTTTGGAAAAAAGCATTGACATTTTTTTAAACTCAATACGCTCTGGGCAAATTGACTCCCTTTTCGTTATGTTGGGGGCTGTTTTTGCCCCATTGACTTCCATCATAATGACATTTCTTGATTGCAAAGTCTTGACAGCATTTAATCATGCACTCTTTACTGTTGCTGGTTTCACCTGTTGGAAAGAGGTGAATTACTGTTGATTATCAGCTGCAGTGCAAAAAAAAAAGCTTAGTTTCTAGCCTTTATATGGAGTATAGTGTGTGCAGAAATGATTTTGCACAGGCCTATCTAAAGGGTTAATGCTGCCAACTGATGATCGACAGTAAAAATGGCTAATTGTACCTCTTTCCGACAGGTAAAACCAGCAACAATCAAGAGTGCATGATTATACGCTGTCAAGACTTTGCAATCAAAAAATGTGATTATAATGGAAGTCAATGGGGCAAAAACAGCCCCAAACATAACCAAAGGGGAGTCAATTTGAACAATATACAAGAGCTAAACTAAATATCCATTATATCCATTAAATAAGAGTTTGGTCACTTATAGAAAGACAATGAATTAATATTTAAACCAGTTAATGCAACAACAAAAATACAAAGTTAAACTAAATCTCATATATTTTGATGTTTGATGAGTGTTTATGTGGTCATGTGTCACACACACACACACACACAGTTTTAAATGTCTTAGTGATGCTGAAAGTAGCAGATACCCTTAAAAGAGACGATATTCTGTGAGGATTTCCTCCTTTCAAGCAGCAGTTTTGAATATCGAGGATGTAGCAGGAATGACGACTGCATCTGACTCTGCAAATCAACAACAAACACACACATTACTGTTTTATTTCAGCAGCTGTGTGTTTGTGTGTCCATATGTGGCTTGTGCACATGTGCATTTATTTGTGTGTGTGTGTTTGGTCTTTTGTGTGTATTTGCATGTGTTTGTGCATGTGTATTTGTTTATGTGCATGTTTGTGTGTGTGTTTATGTACATGTGTGCTTGTATGTGTGTGTCTGTTTATGTGTAATTGTTCGTTTATGTGCAAGAGTTTGTTTGCGTGTGTGTGTGTTTATGTGCTTGTGTGTTTATTTGTGTGTTTGCATGTTTTTTTGTATTGCTATGCGTTTGTTTATGTGTGTGTGGGTGTGTGTGTATATGTGTGTGTGCACATGTTTGTTTGTGTTTGTTCAAGTGAATGTGTGTGTGTGTGTGAGTTTGTTTGTTTGTGTGCATGTTTGTTTGTGTTTGTTCAAGTGAATGTGTGTGTGTGTGTGTGTGTGTGTGTGTGAGTTTGTTTGATTGTGTGCGTGTTTGTTTGTGTTTGTTCAAGTGTGTGTGTGTGTGTGTGTGTGTGTGTGTGTGTGTGTGTGTGTGTGTGTGTGTGTTCTTACGGTCTGGTTAGTCTGTCCCCAGAGCATGAACACTGAGTATGTGTTGAGTGTGAGGACAGAAGCTGGCCGAGGACTCGGAGGCCAGAACAACAGACTGACTTCCCACAGGACGACTCCAGAGTGTCCACTGAGCACCATCACCTAAACACACACACACAGCAGTCTTACAGCTACAGACAAAATTATTCACTTTCCTGTACAATTTATTTTCTTTTTTTAAATATTTCCCAAATGAAGTTTAACAGATTCAGGAAATGTTCACAGTATGTCTGATAATATTTTTTCTTCTGGAGAAAGTCTTTTTAGTTTTATTTTGGCTAGAATAAAAGCAGTTTTTAATTGTTTTAAAGCCATTTTCAGGTTAATATTATTAGCTCCTTTAAGCTATATTTGTGTTGGATAGTCAGAACAAACAATCATTATACAATGACTAATTACCCTAACTTTACCCTGATAAACCTAGTTAAGCCTTTAAAAGTCACTTTAAGCTGAATACTAGTGTCTTGAAGAATATCTAGTCTAATAGTATGCGCTGTCATCATGGCAAAGAGAAAAGAAATCAGTTATAAAACTATTCCTTTTAAACAGCACTTGGGAAATATTTGAAACATGATCTTACAGGAGAGCGAGTAATCTTGCCCAGTCAAAGGTTTGCTCCCATAAATGCATTTATTTCATTTTAAAAGACATTAGTAATATCATGATTACATGATTTAAAATATCAGTTTTCTGTTATTTTAAATAGTCATTTGTTCCTTTTTATTTGAGATTTAAAGCTGAATTTTCAGTATTGTTTACTCCAGTGTCACATGATACTTTAATGAGATGATTTGATGATCAACAAACATTTCTTTTAAGGATTTAAAAACTTTTGTTTATTATAGCTATTAGTGCTGAGGTAAAGATTGATCGCATGAAAAAAAAAAAGAGTTTTTTTTGACAACATGTGCCTAATAAATATATATATATATAAATATATATATATATATATATATATATATATATATATATATATATATATATATATATATATATATATATATATACACACACACATAAAATTAATGATACATGCATACATACATAAAAATAACTTTTATTTTGCGAAGATGTTTAAATTTCTATATGATTTCTTTTATAAACATATATGTTCTATATGAAATATGCATTACCTAAAAAAAAGTCCTGTCACCTATCCAAGTTTAGGAATAACAAATAATAACTTTATAATAAGGCCTCTAGATTTTGCTTATTTGAGCACAATAAAATCTGATCATGCCTTGATTATTAATGATTTGATTAGGACAGTAAGATCTGACTCTGCTTAGACTAAAGTGTCATCACTGAACAGAAATAATGTCCAGTATAGAATATAAAGTCCTGCTGCAGTGGAGACAGAATGAATATTGTGTCTGACTCCATCATGAGCTTGGAGGACTGCATCCATACATCTCTGACATGACTCAAATCACTGATTAATAAAGTCATCTGGAATGGTGAAGAAAGCGTTCCTGCAGGACTCCCAGAGTTTATCAAGACTCTTTGTGTTCATCTTCAACGCCTCCTCCTTCATCTTACCCCAGACATGCTCAATAATGTTCATGTCTGGTGACTGGGCTGACCAATCCTGGAGCAGCTTGACCTTCTTTGCTTTCAGGAGCTTTGATGTGGAGGCTGAAGCATGAGGAGCGCTATCCTGCTGGAGAATCTGCCCTCTCCTGTGGTTTGTAATGTAATGGGCAGCACAAATGTCTTGATACCTCAGGATGTTGATGTTGCAGATCTCTCGCACGCCCCCATACTGAATCTAACCCCAAACCATGATGTTTCCCCTCACCAAACTTGACTGATTTCTGAGAGATTCTTGGCTCTATGTGGGTTCCAGTAGGTCTTCTGCAGTATTATTGATGATTGGGATGCAGATCAACAGATGATTCATCAGAGAAATCCACCTTCTGACACTTTTCCAAATGATCAACTAGAAGTGAAGTTATTATTTGCTGCTCTTACAACCGAGATCAACGACAAGACTTTTGTCAGGTAGTATAAGCATGCATGTGTATTTATGTAAACATAATAAATATAAACCCATATATAATGTCAAAACAAACCTTTTATTTTGGCAGGGATTGACCATCTTTGCCCGACGCTAATATATATTTTACTGTGTTATGAATTATCACTATCAGTTAAAGCAGTTTATACACTCACTCTTTTGGTTTGATTGCCAGCGTCCTCCTCTATCATTATGTCTGGGATCCCATCTTTGTCAAACTGTCCAAACGTCGGCTCACTAGAAAAACATTGACATCAGCATCAGCATCAGCACATCAACATCTCCCTGTGTTCTGAGTGTGTGTTCTGGATTGTTTCTTGTACCTGAGCAGAGTGCTGGTGTTGGTGGTCCAGGCGGTCTTCAGCTTGTCGGTTTGCAGCAGTGAAACACTGGAGTCCGTCTGGATGAGCAGTGATGGAGGATTACTGCCCTGAACAGCCAACACACGCTTCAGAAAACCAGACCTAGCAGAGGATACAGGGTCAGACTTCAACAATTTAAGCTGCATGTATGCAACTTACATATTTGCATTCATGTACATACTTAATCACATTACACTAGGGCTGGGCAATATGGTGAAAACGCAATCTCGATCATTGTTTTCCATATTGAACGATAATGATATTTATTTTGATGTGAGTTGTTAATGCTTCCAGATGTAAGAGTAACCCAACAATGACTGAATCCACAAAAATTAGAGCGTCCATTAGATGACATAACATTTGCGGTGGCTGAAAATTCAGTACATCTCTAACATCAACACACTTTTAGATTCCCATTGTTGCACATTTCTGCAGTGTGATTGGCTCGTAGAGCAATATAAAGTACAAAATAGGCAGAGCTTATCATTATTATTGACATCAATTACATTGCGATTCAATATAATATCAGTTATCAGCCCAGCTCTACATTACACCACATGATATTTGTTATATTCTATAAGTATATTATATTTTAGCATTGAATAAAAAGGACATTTTGGTATAGTATAACAATAAAATTTGGCATGTTTGCCCTTAGCCCAACGTTAATTTACTCTCATTTACTGTCTTAAATGTAATTTACTCTTAAATGTAAATCTTAAATTTGTATTTACTTTCATTTAAAAGGGTGTAGAGTTTCCATTTTATGCAAAAGGATTTATATATATTAAACTTTATTAGTGCTGGGCAAAAAGTAATCATGATTAATCACATCCAAAATAAACAATTGTTAATATATATATATATATATATATATATATATATATATATATATATATATATATATATATTTATACATATATACGAGCAATATCACATGAGTAGCAGTGCGATATGGCTGTATATCGGCACTGGTGGGAGGCGTGCGTTGGCAGTTTATACAACAGTTTGACGGCATAATTGTGTATATAAAAACAAAATCAAACATGGAGAGTCTCAAAAACCCTTCTGTATGAGGAACTACTTTCTTCCGCCTTGTATTCAAATCATAAGCTGACAGTTAAACAGCTGAGCGTGCATCTTTTAAACTCTAGACCTGTAATGTCTGCTTTTGCTGGCTGTATGTGGGCGGAATAATACACAAAGGGTAAAGAGGCTGTACGGGTGCTGATATTACTTAAATATATCACGGCTATCAGCCAATCAGATTTGAGAACCAGACAGAACTGTTGTATATAAAAAAATATTTAAAAAATATATAATAATAATAATAATAATAATTATATATATATATACACACACACATACATACAGAAATTTAGATTAATATATTTTAATAAAATGAAATTATGATATATTATCTTATTAATATATTTTAGATATATTAATATTATATAATAAATTTACTATTTAAATATAAACATTTTATTAAATACATGCATTTCTTCTTTTTTTAAATATTTCCACAATTTATGTTTGACATAGATAATTTTTTTCAGCACATTTCTAATCAAAATAGTTTTAATAACTCATCTCTAATAACTGATTTATTTTATCTTTGTCATGATGACAGTAAATAAAATTTGACTAGATATTGTTCAAGACACTCCTATCAGGCCCAAAGTGGCATTTAAAGGTTTAACTAGGTTAATTAGGTTAACTCGGCAGGTTAGGGTAAATAGGCAAGTTATAAAAATAAACAGGGGGGCTAATAATTCTGACATTTTGGATGTAAATAATCTTTGCCAGCACTACATTTTATTTAACAAGTTAATAATTATTACCTATTCAATAACACAAATTATTATGGAAGCAAAACAACGACATTTTCAAGCAATTTCTATCCATAAGTAAATGCTTTCAAACCTTGAAAGCGCTAGATTAAAAGGCATTTTTAATTACGTCCTGCACCCGTACGAACACTGCTGATTATATAATGATGATAGTTGAACATAAAGTGCATGAGGTTTGCCATCAATGGTATTACTGATAGAGTGAGATGAATCCAGTGTGAATGTCTGACAGTTCCTCCCAGCTTTTCTCTTTCTTCAGTGCAGACTCGAAACCAGGCTTAGCCAGAGCTGCCAGACGTCCCAGACTGACCGCATAAAGCCCAGAGTCTATGAATTCAGAGAGATATTAAAGGTAAAGTTCACAAAAACTTAATAATTATCATCATTTATATATCATTCACATGATCCAAACCTGTCTGTCAGTTTCTTTCTTCTGTTAAACACAAAGGAAGAATGTTGGAGAAAACAGCCATTAATTCCATAGTATTTTCTGCTCCTACTATGGATGCCAGTGGCTGCTTCTTTTCCCCAGCATTCTTCTAAGTATCTTGTTCTATGTTCAACAGCAGAAATAAATGCATAACATATTCCCTTTGAATGGTTATATCTTCTAAACGCTAATTGTGCTGTTTTCGCTTTAAATGCAAATGAGATTGTGCTCTTTTCAAAAGAGGGCGGAGCTACAAACGCCTGTGTGTCAGCATAGCGGCAGATTCAAAACAAATGTCACTGTTCATTTGCGTTTCATCTAAAATTCCACATTTATAATCCTCTCAGTCGCTGACATTATCTTCAGCAGCTCCACTCTAAAGCCAGACGGCTGCTTCTCACTCAGGGCTGCTGTCTATGCTAATGAGCGAGAGATGGTCACTAGTGGGCGGGGCTTTCCCCCTCTGATGACATGTACAAAGGGAGAATGTCAATCAAAATCTTTCCGCAGACTGTTTTTATCAAGTCTGATAATAATAAAATAGAATTAATTATTTTGAGCATTAGAGGCTGCTTATTTTCACACACTGCTGACAAACAACTGTGTTTAACCCCCTCATAGAAGTGATTTTTCCATGATAGCTCCCCTTTAAATCCGCAACACACCTGTGAGTAACAGCAGATATGAAGCGCCGCTGGCCGTCTTGAAGTGCAGGTGAGCGAATACACCGTTCACGTCAACATTGACCCTGGAGCCGAGCTGATCACCAGATTTCCCAGAGAAAAACACCAGTTCAGTCTAAAGGAGGGAGGAGATCACAGTGAATCTTCAGCGTTAGTGAGCTTTAGGTTGGTATTGTGTGTGTGTGTGTGTGTGTGTGTGTGTGTGTGTGTCGTACCGGTGTGGGAGTGAATGAAAGAGCATCTGGATTGTATGAAAGCACAGCAAAGTCTTCTTTTCCATCAGAGTTGAGATCCGGGACGCTGATCAGCGGGAGATTTCCATGCATCAAAGTCGAACGCGAATGCTGCCACATGATCTGACCTGATGGAGAGGCAACGGGAACATTTGGATGAAATACTGTCGCGTTATATTCAGTGCTGGGTAAGTAAATTTAAGTGATTATAAAATTAAAATAACTTTAATTATTTATCTGGAAGTAGTTTAACTGTTGTGTACTCATCAAACTAGACTCTCAAACAAAAAGCCCTAGACTCCCCTTTGGTTATGTTGGGGGCTGTTTTTGCCCCATTGACTGCCATTGTAATTATATCTTGATTGTTGCTTGTTGGGAAGAGGTGAAATTAGTCATTTTTACTACTGATCATATTCCCAGAGATGGGTTGCGGCTGGAAGGGCATCCGCTGCATAAAAACTTGCTGGATAAGTTGGCGGTTCATTCCGCTGTGGCGACCCCAAATTAATAAAGGGACTAAGCCGACCAGAAAATTTATATATATATATATATATATATATATATATATATATATATATATATATGCTGTCAAGGCTTTGCAATCAAAAAATGTCATGATAATTGAAGTCAATGGGACACATACAGCCACCAGCATAACAAAAGGGGAGTCAATTTTGCCCAGAGTGTTGATTTTTCATCCCAAAATATGTGTCATAATAAGATTTGTCACCAAAAATCATTCCATTTGCTGAAACAGAGAAAGTTGTGGCCAAATTAAGACTCAAAATCAGATGAAAAACATCCCCAACAGCACACAAGGATTAATAACTCATATTGTTATTTAATTATTTGACTCAATACTACATATAATACCTAACAAGACATGCAAGTTGCAGTAAAGGTTACTTTAACAAGTATAATAACAAATATAGTTAGTTTATTATTAGTCTAATTATCTGCATTTACCGGACTTCTGATCAGATTACAGCTATGATTATAATGCATTATTATTAGACATTAACTACAAATTTACTGATGTTAACTATTAGGGCCTTACTGCTGTGTTAATGTTTAAAATAGAGGAAACACATCCAAAATAAAAGTTTGCTTGTGAATAGTTATTATGCATCTATAAATACACACATGCAGGCATATATCTAATAAAATGCTTATTTATATTTAGCTATAACACGTGTGTTGTTAATTATATATACACATATACACATCTATTCAAAAATCTTTGGATATTTTAGGATGTACTACATAAACATAATAAATAAATATATAATACACAAACATACCTGTATAGTATGTCAAAACAAACTTTTGTTTTGGATGCAATCTTTGCCCACCATGAGTATAAAACCTTATAAATAGCCACAGAATTTTAAACTCATATTTCAGCAAACAGCAGGCCACATTTGATCTATTAAGCCAACCATTTGGCTTTGTTGTAAACACCACTGCAAATACATGTGATTATTCTAAAAAAGCACTCAAAAAGTTTAAAATAATAAATAACTACACTGAAATGCTTTTCTTACTTATATTTTTGTCATGTTTCTAATCCAAATATCTAAACTCAGAGAGTTTTTCCTTAAAACAATCAAAACTATTTCATGTCAAAGATTATTTAGCTTGTTTTAAGGAAAAAACTCACTTAATTTTAACATATTATTTCTTAAAACAAGACAATATCTTTTGCTTGTCTAGAAAATGTTTCTTGATTTAAGATTGTTTAGATATTTGGATTAGAAACAAGCCAAAAAATAAATCAAAGAAAAGCACTGAATTCACTATGTTTTAAAGTGCCCACGATATCAAAATTGTACATGTTCATTACCACATTATATTGAGTTAATAATTATCGGCATATGTCTGTTGTGTTCTTTAATATTATGCAAATATTAAAGACCACAACAGTGTGGAGAAGGCATATGTTGATATTCATATATGTCCACATTGGTGTGTAATTAAATCCTGTACCAGTCTTTTTGTCGACTGCCGTGAGATTGTCTGCATGAGCAACCAGGCATCCGCTCCCTTTGTGTCCGAGTCCCTTCACGCCGCACTCCACCCAGTCAAACTCAGCAGATAAAGCTCGTTTCCAGAGTGATTTTCCATTCGTACCGTCAACAGCCGTTAACACCAGACACGGAACTGATAAATCTAAAAACAAAACATCAGTTCAAGCAGCATAACACACAGCCTTGATATATATACTAGACAGCCTTGAGTCTCCTATTAAGAGTTAAGAGTCGTGAACTCCTGGCTTAATTATAAACATCTCATTTTGTTTCCAACACCTTAAGCTATAAAGTCATGTTGCTTTTCACTATGAAGGCGTGCAAGTAACATTGTAAACCATGTAAACATTAGGTCTCCGGAAGAAACTGTGATGTAAACAAATGAAAAAAACCATCCATAAAGCAACACTGTTGTGTCATTGGATTAAATGTGCCCTATGGGATGTTGATCGATGGACCCTTATCTTTCAAAATAAATCATGAATGTGTATGTGTCTTGATATTATGATGATAAATGTATGTACTCCACTTCTACTAAGGGTGTTTTCACATCTGTAGTTCGCTTCATTTGGTCTGGACCAAGGGAAATAAATGAGACATTGTTGCATTTTCTGCCGTCTTTGGGTCATTTTCACACCACACTGCTGGCTTTAGTCCAAACCAGTTAAAACAAACCAAAGTGCAGTCATCTGACAAAATCCACATCTCTTATTGGCCAGATGTTGTTGAACATAGGTCCTAAACTGCTTACTGATTGGTCAGAATTCACGTGCAGGAAAATGCCAATGAACTCCCGCAGGTAAACAAAACCGGCAGACACAAAATGTTGCTTTTACTCTGGAGCAGAGGTGTCAAACTCAATTCCTGGAGGGCCGAAGCCCTGCACAGTTTAGTTCCAACCCTGCTCCAACACACTTACCTGTAGGTTTCAAACAAGCCTGAAGGACTCAATTAGTTCGATCAGGTGTGCTTAATTAGCGTTGGAACTAAACTGTGCAGAGCTGCGGCCCTTTTGGAACTGAGTTTGACACCTGTGCTCTGGAGGGACGACTGCGCTGGCTGATTGTATCCCTGCTTTAGACAAACTATACATTTTGAGAAGGAAGCGCAGCCGTGGCTGGAAAACAGTGTTTAATGCATCACTCGTCACTTCAGGAGGAGGCGTGAATTAATTTAGCTAAACTGCGACATGCTCATCTTGCGGAAATATTACCAATGATCCATCAGGTAATGTTTTCCCTCTCTCTCTCTCTCTCTCTCTGTTGGTAAAGCGCTGTCAATAAATATTTTTCCTCTATATACCATAATGCACAGCGCATCAGCCTACAGCAGCTAGATTAGTCCAAGAGGTGCAGTACTTTTTGCAATTGGACCTGTTTTAGTTCAGATCATATTCTCACCACAAACGAACCGCTTCAGGGTAAATTTGAAAGCGTACCGAGACCACCTCTTCAAGCAGGTCTCGGTACGCTTATTTGGTCTGCTTTTGGTGCGCACTCGAGAACGATTGCTGCATTCACACCTGCCCAAACCAACCGCACCAAAAGGGGAAACGAACTCTAGTGCGATTTAATCGAACTAAATAAGGCAGGTGTGAATGCACCCCAAGTGTGTTCTAATGTTTAATCCTTACACACATTTAGAGGGTTGTAGATTTAGATTGATGTATAGTTTGTTAAGATTACTTGTTTTTTATGTGATCTATTCATCGACGCTGACCTGTTTGTGAATCTTTTTTTTTCTGTCAAACACAAAAGAAGATATTTTGAAAAATGTTGGTGGTAGTTGGCACCCATTGACTTCCATAGTAGAAAAAAAAAACACTATGGAATTTAATGGGCGCCATCAACCTGTGCAACCTGTATTCTTCTAAATATGCTCTTCTGTGTTCAACAGAAGAAAGAATACACATGAGAGAGCATAAATGATGAGGTAGTTTTCATTTTGGAGTGACCTATCCCTTTAATTAATATCATTATTTAATAGATGTGTCTGTTTTCAGTCAACAAGCTGGATTGAGTGTTTGTGTCTGTGTGTGTGTTTCTAGGTTTACCTGCATTCAAACATGTGTTACGGCTGGCATCAGCATCTCTGTAGATGAAGAACACATCTAACACCTTGTCTTCATTGGCATCCTCAACAGCCAGGAAATCAAACGTGGCTAAAACAGAGAAATATTCAGTAAGGAATGGATGAAAGTTGCTAATAATTCTGACTTCAACCGTATGAGCTCTGTACTGCTGTGTTTTTCCACATCAGTCACCTGCGTCAGGTACTGTGCGGTTCCATGTGGACACATATTGAGGCCGTACGGGGCAGGGGAGGATGAATGAAAAGGCGAAGATGACTGCCAGACACAGGAAGATGGAGAGCAGGAACGCTGCTGTTCTCCAGCCGGTCAGATGAGACAGACCCAGCTTTCCTGCGCAGCTCTTCTCCTTAGTCACGCCCCCTTCTGCCTCTCCGTCCTTTAGTGGCTCCGCCTCCCCGCCACGCCCTGATTCGTCTGTCATCTCAGAAGAGTCTCCACACCACTGCAGCACACACAGGTAACATATAAGCACATCATACTCAACATTCATGAGTATAACTTGCTTTTGTTTTGCTTGATTTGATCATGTTTCAAGATTTTACTTAAAATGTAAAGCGCTTTATAAATAAAACGTATAATAACTATGAGTATAATTGTAAACATGTCAATTGTAAGCTAAGGATCTTGTCTTTTGCTTTGAAATATTTATAGTTTTTTTTAAAGATAGTGTAATTAAATATAACATGGACAATTATGCTGTGACACTTGTTGTTTCAAGTAAAATTTATTTTCTTTGCTTAATTTTATCATGTTTCTTTTGGAGATCTTTTGAGATTTTACTAAAGTGTAAAGTGCTTTATAAATAAAATGTGTTATTATTATTATTTTTCTTTATTTATTTATTATTATTATTATTAAAAGGGAAATGATTGAATGATTTATAATTGTAAGTATAATTGTAAAACTGTCTAGCTTCAGCTTATGGTTCTTGTGTTTGTTGCTGTGAAATCTAAATCTGAAAGATAACATAAACAAATATATTTCTAATAAAATATTTCAAAATGAACCAGATTGTAGATATATCATTTTTAGATTTCTTTTTAATCAATATGATGCAGTGCTATCGATAAACACTTATTTGTTCATCTCTGTCATCAAAGTACACTTTTAAAAAGTTTGCTGACTTAATTTTTTAGTTGAATCAAATTAACTTTTCTAGTCATCTAAACTTACATCACACACACTGACTAAATATTTAAAGTTAAACTTTGCATACCTTAAATACGATTTTTACTATGCTTTTGGGGATGTTTTCATCCAATTAGGGCTGATTTTGAGTCTTAAATTGGCCACAACCTTTACTGTGTTTCAGCAAATGGGATGATTTCTGGTGGTAAATCTTATTTTGACTCTTATTTTGGAAAAAATGCATCAAATTTTTATAAATAAATAATTATAAATTTTTAATATTTTATATTTGTTCATTAGGATAAACCCCTTGAGATGTACCATCTCATTTTCAAGGGGGTCCCACAATTAATCACAGTCACATAATAACAACAACACAAGAAGACAAAACATAATGTACACAACATGCAAAAAACATGACATAACATAAAAAAATAATTAAATAAATGAATAAAATAAGTAAATCAAAATAAAGTAAAATTAAAAAATTAAAAGTAGATGGGAGGAGGGGGGGGTGGAGTAGTATACATACACACATACGTATATATACATAGAAAAACTATATACAGATCAGTAAATCTGTCACCAAATAAATAATAACATCCTCAGGAAAAACAGGTAAAATCCAAAGTAAAATAGGACTACAAAGTCTGCTTAAGGACCTGAAATGATGTGGTGGATCGAATGTTTGCAGGTAAGTTATTCCAATCTGTTGGACCCTTAAACATAAAAGCTCTTTTGCCCATAGATTTTTTACAAACTCTATACAGTCTGTGCAAATTGACTACCCTTTCGTTATGTTGGGGGCTGTTTTTGCCCCATTGACTTCCATTATAATCACACTTTTTATATTCCAAATATAGTCCTGTTTTACTATTATAAAATATGTTTTCCATTGCATTACAAGCTCTCCAATTCTTTTTTTTTCTTTTACTTTTCAGTCATTAAAAAGAAAGTAGCAAAACAAATTCAGACATTTAAGTAATTTGTTGAGCTTTACCAGATTAATCAGGTTAATTTGTATTTTGGGTTTCTTTAGAAAATTTAGCTAAATATTTCTACTTGCTTACTAATAAATCCCAAAACAACAAACATATAATTTAAAATGTAATGTACTACAACAACTTCATGATCATGTAATTTAAAACACCTGCTTAATGCAACTCTTCTTCCTCAGACGCTGAGCTAAAACTAAATATTGAGTACTCAACTGAAATCTTTTTGCACTCTTTTTGTCTCATAAATAAGCAGTTTTACATATTTTGTGATTCTTTTTTTTTATTCTTCCCCATTTATTTCTGCTTTTGAATTGCATTATGGGATCTTGATCTTTCTTCCTACCACTTTAAACCTTGAAAAGTTTGAAAAAGTGACTTTTCTGAACATGTTTAATAGTTTGCAGTGCTATATTGTCTGAGTTGGTGTTGTATATTACGCTACAAACACTTTGTAATAAACTGGCGGTACATTTTCTGTTATTATTTCTCTAGATAATATAATGTATAAGAAATAATAATATTTCAAACTTCGAAAATGTCAATAGAAGTCACTTTGCTAAACATCAAAAGTCGACAGAGCAGAGATCAACATCTCATAATGCAATTCACAACCGCAAATAAACTCTTGTGAATCACGAAATACAAAATACAGTTAATGAACAGATATTTTTACAGTGTACTGTACTTAATCCTGGTATAGTTTTTATTTAATCACTGTTTCCAAAGGCAGATTTAGATCACAGATCCTCCAAAATGGCATTTGAGATATCAATCTGAGTATGTAAAGCACCTTAACAAGTATATTCAAAGGTAAAGTTCACTGCCATACTCAAGTAAATAAAGGAAGGGTAACTAATTCTTCCCAGATCCCTCCTCCTCCTCCTACCTGAAATCAACCCTGCGCGTTCAGCAACAGCAGCCCTGATTGATAACCATCAGCACATTACAGTATGCATCAATCTAAACACAGACACACACAATAAAACCTGCTTCTTTTCTCGTCCAGAGTGTTCTGCGAGCTGCTTCCAAACAAAAAACACAGCAACAAAAAACCTCAGTCATGCAGCGGTAGAACAAGAAGAGCCCGCGGCCAAATACAGCTCTCTCTGGAAACTGCTATACACTGTAAAGATAGCTGTTAATTAACAGTTTCCATGTTTAGTGTTTTCTGTTTATTTCCGGTTGTAAATTGCATTATGGGATGTTGATTTCTCCTCTGTCGACTTTTAATGTTGAACATTAAACTCTACAGTTTAACAAAGTGACTTTTATTGATATTTTGGTAGTTTGTAATAATATATTGTGTAAGAAATATCTAGAGAAATAAGTCAGAAATAACAGAAATGTGCTGGCAGTTAATTACAAGGTTTTTGTGTCGTAATCTACAACAACAACCTAGATAATCGCCTTTTTTAAACTTTTCAAGGTTAAAAGTTGTTGGAAGAAAGATTAAGATCCCATAATGCAATTCAAAAGCAGAATTAAACAGGCAAAAATAAAAAAAAACATGGAAAAAATATGGAAAACTGCTCATTTATGGATATTTTTTGCAATGTATATATTGCACAAACTCACACCAAAACAACAACAATATAATTTCATGCTTTTTAAATATATAAAATCATTAATGAGGCAAAAAGTTGGTTTTATATTCATAAATTCAGACTTTATCCCAAATAAAAGAATTTCAGAAAGATATTATTTGCGAATTCCAGCACTTACTGAAACCACAATGCATTTAACTACTTTACTGTTATTAGTTTGTATTTTAAAATATTGTATCACAGTATTTTTTAAACAGAAATACAGTAAAGTATTTATTTTCACAATAAAATACTGCAATTCAGCATTTTTAGGCTTGAAATGTAACTTAGCTATTTAAGCTGTGAATATTTCAACTAAAAATATTTCACACACACGTTCATACTAAAATTCAATACTTCATATTCACCTTCCAAAAACAAACTTTTAATTTCAAATACCTCTGCCATTACATTTATTCCATACAATGACTATCAATATACAAAACTGTTCACAGTCAGTTAAAAAATAAGACGGAATACTCCAAGTATTGTGATAAACAATATGGAGACTGTGTCAGAAGCTGTCACTGAACTGAAATAAAATAATAATACATTGTTTATGTGTGTGTAATGTTTATATTAGAACATAACTCACATCGTAAGCCTGTTGCATTGAATAACATTAACCGAGTAAAGCTTATTTAAGAGAGAAAAACTCTTTTTACATCTATGAACTAAACAACAGATACAGTTTTAAAATCAGAGGGAGACGAAAATCACGATTATGTTTAGTTTTAGGTTGAAAGTTTACAGTCTCTTCAAGGTTAAACATTATCTGTAATTAGCCGGTTTTACATTTTGACACTGATGTAATACGTTAAATAGCGACGATTTTAGAAAAACACACTTTTGTCGGATCTAAACAAACCTGGTGAATGACAGACAGATCCTTCTCCTTTTCACAGTAATGGAAACGAGACTTCCGCGAACGGCAACTCGACCGGGACAAAACGCGATTGTGTTTTCTTAATATAGTCTAAAATGATGATCTCCGTTTCCCAGGGATGGCTTGCAGCTGGAAGGACATCCGCTGCGTAAAAAATATGCTGGATAATTTGGCGGTGTAGCGACCCCAGAATGATAAAGGGACTAAGCCGAAAAGAAAACGAATGAATGAATGAATGAATGAATGAATGAATATCTCAGTATGTGATGTGGAATTATCTACCATTCTGGCAAATCTTACTAAGTTTGTACATTACACTGTCATACAATAATATGTTATTTTTGTCTTTTAAATATAATACATTTATTGTTTTATAACATCAAAACAATAATAATAGTTAAATATGCAATTTCACTAATAATAATAAACGAAACAGTGAGCGCTTCTTTAAGTAGAAGAATAGAATTTTTTAATTATTATTATTAACAGTTGTAACGGGACAAATAAAACATTATTTAATTATTTGTTTAGTCACAACTTAAGTTTATACAAATGTATATTCATTCCTGGTCCATCTTATCTCAGCATATCTGTAATGTATTGAGCTCCTAGGCCATTTAGTGATTAATAGACTAGTAGTAATACTTTAAAATCTATTCTGAATGTAATTGGGAGCCAGTTTAAAGACCTGAGGACCGGTGTGATGTGCTCTGATTTCCTGGGTCTGGTCAGAATCCTGGCCGCAGCATCCTGGATGAGCTGTAACTGTCTTTATGTATTAATGTATTAGTAGTATTATGCATTTTTTTGTGCATTTTCTGTTTTAATAAGCCCAATAACAATGTATACAATATAAGTATATGTATACAATAACAAATAGTTATAATTGGGACTATCTTTAACAAAAAATACAAATACAATACACACAAATACACAAAAAAAAAAACAAATACAAAGAAAAAAGTGAAGCAGATTAAACGCAATGGGTATTTAGTCATTAAATATAAGAAAATACGTTTTTAGAGCCAATTAAATGTACAAATGTATCTGTTAACAAAAATAAAACGGTGTATTTGTAGTTTTGACGTGAAGCACTGCTGCGTCCTCTTTAAGACTGCGTCACGCACTCTGATTGGCTGTTCAGCCTTTTGAGTTCATTTGCTCGCTAGCTAGCGAAGAGAGCGGCGGAGGCGACAGGCGCAGGAGCGAAGCGCTCTGCAGATGATTCAAACGCACAGTTTTAGTGTAAAATCAGTGTCAACTTTGTGAGGTGAGCTCGGTTAATCAGCGAGGATGTCGGCCCAGGCTCAGATGAGAGCTCTGCTGGATCAGCTGATGGGAACGTCGAGGGATGGTGAGTGTTAGCTGCGTGCTAACGGCGCTGAGAGGATTTCTGCAGGCCGCGCGCTCAGATTAACCCAAATCTCAATAGAGTAACCCAATCAAATACTAAAATTAATGTCTATAGACGAATATCAAAGCATTGAGATGAGCTAAATGCTGCAACATTTCCTCTTGAAGCGCTTTAGTTTAATGTTTGTGTCCATGAAGGAGGCTAATGACGTCAGTGAGACGACGTCAAGGCTCCGTATGCTATGCTATGCTAATTGAAAAGCCGGGAAGACTAGTGTTTAAAATGTAATAGTTAAGTGAAAATGGAGACAGTAGGCTAATTTTAAGTAGAACATTGAAAAAAAATATCTTGTATGTTTATTGTACTCTATACACGTTTTCACCAGATAATTGTATTTACAGTTAGTATGTTATTGTTAATGTTAGTGATCAATATATTTTAGAGGCAGGGGCGGATTTAGTGATTTGGGGACCCAAAACTTTATACTTTTTTTATTCTTAATTGGTTTATTTAAATCAATTAATCTCCTTTTCTGTATTGCGTCTTAATGCAAAATAAAAACAACACCTAAAGCAACATCTTGTGAATTCATTTTAAGAAAATCGTTTAAAACGTTTTTCAACTAAAATAATATATAAGTTTTTTTTAATAGTTTAACGTTTTAATAAAATATTTTTATTTTTTTAATTACGTTTATTTAAACTTAATACCTAATTTAACTGCTGGACTGCTTCATGATTGATGGCGGGGGCACATTTCTGCAGAAGTAAAAATAAAAAGATTTTTTTTTTTTTTAGATCCTCGTCATACAAAATATAATAAATTATTTTATATATAATTTATAAGTATAATTTATACTTCTAGGTATTTATTTGGGAGCTGCTTGCTTTGCCTATTGGTTAAATCTGCCTCTGCTGTCAATTTTAGGTGATATTTAAACAGCATTTGAAGTGGCAGGGTATCCATAGGGTCTTAAAATGTCTTAAACCTCAAAAGCTAAATTTTAGGCCCAAAAAAGCTTTAAATCTACTGAAATGTTGTGTTTTAGATCTTACAATTTTTTTCTAAAGACTTTGCTTACAGTAACATTGGCTTAAAAGTTCTCCATTTATTTACTGCTGAGGATACTGACCCAATTAATATTATTGTTTTCTGAAGTAATTGACAGCTATGTTTTGTACAATTCTTGGTTAGCGTTATATGGTTTAATGGATATAGCTGAAAATTTAATTAAAAAAAATATTCAAACAAAATGATTATTATTGTATTGTTACATGTATTAAATTGTAATTGTTTTGGGCAAGTAAAAATATTTTCTAACTGGGATATACGAAAAAAATGCTTAGCATTTAGCCCTGTTTAACTCTAAAATTTCAATTATAATGGTCTTAAAAATGTCTTAAATTTTACTTGGTGAAACCTGCATAACCCTGAGTGGATTGAATATCTATCGCAATTAGTTTTTATTGTATAATTTATAACACAATTCTTATAGATTAATAGAAAATGCACCTTTTTCAATTGTATTTTGAGTGCATTGATTAATAATATTGCATGACCATGTACAGTGCTCAGCATTTATGAGTACAGCCTTTACAAGTCTGTCTTTTTAAATGAATATTGTCTATGTATAACATTTATTTATTGTATATGTTTTTATAGGATGCTATCTGTTGCAGATTAAACTTAACGATAATGTTCCAGTAATTAGTACAGCCAAATCTCTGTTAGGGGGAAAAAAATATTAAATAAAAACTAAAAAGAGGATAAATTATAAGAAACGAGCTAAATTAAATGTAGTTGAAATTTTGTAGTTTGTATTTTTTTCTTGCAATATTTATTAATTAATATTTCTATTTTTAAGATTGTTAGGTGGACAAACTTTTATTTTAATGAATAAATCTGGTTATTAAATCGATTTTGTTGAAATGCACCAGAAAATATCACCTATATTATTTTTTAATATGTGGTGTACTCATTTATGCGGAGCACTGTATACATTATTTTATATGTCTTGCTAAAAAAGATTTAATATATTAATATAAATGTAATATAATATATTTGTAAGGGTTAATGACCACCTCTCGTTCTTTTAGAGTGTAATTTCACATTTAAAAAATGATGGATGCAAGCATTAAATCTAAATGAGCTTTACCAAGAGGAAATATGACTTAAATAATGAATATGATGTGAATTTGATCAGATGAAAAGATGAGCAAACAACAGAAAGGAGAATTTGTTGAATTGAGTTAAACTGGCTGTAAGAAATCTCACCCTCCGTGTGAATGAAGCGACTGTCTGTGTGAATGCTGCTGAGATGAATTCATATGCTTCCCGTGCATTTGTTTCATACAGACTGAACAATTGTGGCCCCTTTATTCTATTCATTAAGGTTCAGTGTATGTTTGCCAGCCTACATCTGCAAGGGAGTTGCAGAAAAGCCTCATGTTCATCGAGCCGTGAGTCACCAATGCTTTTTAAAGCTGTTATGAATATGAAAAAACAATACTGTTTGCTTTCCAGCAGTAACTGTTTTACACATCACGCTAGTTGCTAAAGTAAGCAGAGAGGATACGAAGCTTCTGCCCAGGCGGATGTAGTACACTGATGCTGTGCCTGAGCGTCTTTCCTCAAAACTGACTTTAATAAAACAACATTAAGTAAATAAAGGAAAGAAGTCAAATTCCTCCGCCGACGTCTTCACTTGTATTCTTTTGTATCATTCCCAACTTCCTCATTACAGGTTTGGGCAAGAAAAGCTTTTCCCTTTAAACTTTTAGAGGCTGGGACCGCAGGAGGGGTTCTGAATGGGAGAGACCTCGCAGTGTGTATCTATTAACCTTTCACTTTAGTTTTCTGTTTTGTTTCAACTTGGTCAACTTGTTCAACTTCTTGTATTGGTTGCTTTTTAATGTGCACGTTAGATTATTCAGCATTTCAGTATGTATGCATGAGGGATTATGCTCTTAGAGTACAAGACGACAATCCCATACACCCTTGCGCTCAATTGGCAGGTCTGAAAACTGCAGACACATCATGAAAAGTAAGGCTGGGTGAGATATTTAATATTCACAATTTATTGTATTGTATTTTTAGTGATTTTTATTTACAAATTTATAATTAAGTTATTATTGTCATTGTTTTACATGTTAAAAAAGCTTTTGATTTCAGTTTACGTATTTTATTGATGTATTAAATGCATTAATTTAGTCATTTTAACAACATTAAGATTGAAAGAAATTGGGATTTAATTAAAGCTGTGTCGCCCAGACCTTACACACACACTACAGGCTGACACACAGAACTTCCTCTCATGTCTATGATGGCTAAACAGAATAAATGACTGATGCAGACTGACAACACTAGCCTATTGGGTTATTCAATTTTTAGATATTCACATTTAGCAGCCTTTTAAAGAAAGCGGCCTTGGGTCAGCGGAGGTTAAACCTCTGCAATCTACATGAACAAGATCTTTTACTCTCCACCGTAACACTGATTATATGTGACAGCACTCTCAGACACTCTCAGACTCAGCACATGTCATGATTTCACTGCAGAGACAGGCAGGACTGTGACCCTTGGCCACAAAGTTAGTGTGTAGCACCGCAGTGAGTGTGTGAGCCGTGCGCGAGTTTGTGTGTGGTCTCATTCAGTGTCAATTATGTGCTGTGTTCTTACAGGAGATGAGTCGAGACAGCGGGTTAAATTCACAGACGAGCGCGTCTGCAAATCTCACCTACTCAACTGCTGCCCGCATGACATCCTCTCTGGAACGGTGAGGAAAGCTTTAGTCTGGGCCTGTCATGATACGGAAATTTTGCTGTGCGATATATTGTCAGAGATTGTTCTGCTAAGCGATATTATTGTCATTGATGATTTTATGCCACTGATTATATAATGATAACACTAATATCATTCTTAAGGTTATTTAGATTCTATACATTGATGTTGAAATGGGAAATGTCCTATTGGTGGGCCCACACGGAATCTGCGCGCTCAGAATTCTGCAGATTTTTAGCCCGTCGTTAATTCTGTTTATTTACTTGAGTAAATGTGTAAATCTGAATTTATTCAGTTTTTATTCAGTAATTTATTACTTTTCATTTTATATATTAAGGTTTTAGTTATGATTAGAGCTGCACAATTCTGGCTAAAATGAGAATCGTGAATTTTATTTTATTTTTTTTGCTTAATTAAGATCACGATTTTCTTACGATTCTGTAGATGTAAAATAAAGGTATGGTAAAAACAATATGGCAAAACATCAATATTAATATTATGTGTAAGTCAACTGGTTTCTATAAATAATTTGATTCTACTTATAATAATTCTGATGTTGAATTATTATATTTAAGATGTATGCTTGCAATCTGTCATTGACAACATTATTAGACAATTTTATTCACTGGTAAAATCAGACATTTGTCATTATTAGATTATATTCAACAATATATAGGCTAGAGTAGGTATACTGACACTAAACATTTATTTATGCACAACTCTGTTCGCTATGAAAGAAAAAACATATCAAATGCTTGTCGTAATCATAACTCTCAAATGCGATATGATCATTTAAATGAAGTGCACACTTTCGGTTTCATTTTGACTGCGAAGTGCTGTTCATACTTCGCGTGCAGCTCCCAAACGATCCCTGCCACAAACAATATTATTTACAACTGTATTACCTGTTACTCGCAACATATGCAGGTTCTGTTCACTAAAGTAGACGCGCGCACGCATCTATCATCAAGTAGAGCGCGCGCGCCCTTCCTGTGAAAGAGCTCACGGTCAGCAGCTCACCTCACGTGAGATTTCCCGGCCGTGAAAACATCATTATATGAAGATAAAAATGACATTTTTGGGTGAATTATACCTTATAATACAGTATGTGACTCATTCAACATCATTTGGAGGTGTCAATGTCACTGGGCAAAGTATGTGAAACAATAAAAAGACTTGTACAGCCGCCTTTTCTTCTCTCCTAAACTTGCAAATATGATTGACAGAATCGTAGAAATGCTGGATTAAGATCGTCTAGGGGATCAAATCGAGATCACAATCATTTTACGATTAATTGTGCAGCTCTATTTATGAAACTCTGCTGGATAATCCCAAAATAATTCAGCAGAAATCTGCAGATTTTTACCAAAATTTTTCGCAGAAATAGCAAAAAACGTCCGCAGATTCCGTTTGGCCCTACTTATTTGTAATTATCTAAATATAATCTTTGACAGCGGTGAGGTAAAATGTAAATCTCTTTGTAAAATGGCTTTAATGCTATTTGTAAATTTGTTAGTAAAAATTCTGCCATGGCAAAAATTGAGGTCATCCAAGTATTGCACGATAAGTCGATATTGATTATTGTGACAGGCCAAGTTTAGTCAGCCAGTTTATTTCACTGTCATATATTGTTCATACTGATGAAGGCTATGTTTGTTTGTTTGATGTGTTTTTAGCGGATGGACCTTGGCGAATGCTCTAAGATCCATGACCTGGCGCTGAGGGCTGACTATGAGATCGCGTCTAAAGAGAGAGACTTGTTCTTTGAACTGGATGTAAGTGATGTTTTGGCTCACAATCCGTGCCTGTAGATTTGAGCATGTCATTCAATCTAGTAATTTACCTGTGTAAATGTATAATTTATCAGTGCAGAGGTGCACATTTGTCAACTTTTTACAAATCTGGGATTTTCAACTTGATCTTGTTGATCTGTGAATAAGAAATTTGAGGTGGAGGGTGTCTAATCGCAAAGGCTGCAATATATATATTAGGGGTGTCAAAATTAATCGTTTCTTCGGTGCATCGCGATGCAGACGCGGATAATTCGGTATCGGTTCAGTAATAATCATAACCGGTTATTACTGACGTCATTTACCTCATATGCGCTCTGTCGCGAGGGAGGCGATCACGAGTATTTACAACGCTTTAACTACTTAAAACTCATTAACTGTGCACAATTTCACTGTGTGTGTTTGCTGGATCAGTCTTTCACTGACATATACAACAATAGCCCCTATTTCACTGAGATCCAGAGAATGAAAGTAGCCTACTCCATTTCTCTCTTTCTCTCTCTCTCTCTCTCTCTCTCTCTCACACACACACACACACACACAGTGGCCCATTTGACCTGCTGGGGTGGCTTTTCTTCTCCTCTCGGCTGTTTTACAGCATTACGTTTGGATACAGAAACGAGCGCGTGTCTGCAGAGTTTTCTCCACCGTGTCTATCATGCATCAGCTGTGAGATCGCCCCTGCCGCTTATCAGTGTCACTTATCTGAAAAGCGCAGCGCGCAAGAGCCAATCACAACCGTTTTTGTTGAGGGTGTGACCAATCAAAGAGGTGTAAGAGAACTAGACAAGATTCAGAAAATGAGCTGGATGTTTATGTTTGTTTATATTATTTGCTAAATGCTCGTTTTGTTTAAAGTTGCAGTTTATATATGACTGTTTGTATTAAACGGAAAAATTGTATTACAAACAATATATAAATATATTCATTTTAATACAAGAACTGCTGCTGTGAAGAAAATATAAAGCTGTGTATGGAAAGCATCGTCATTGCACCGTGATGCACCGAAATATCGAATTGAACCGAATCGATGGCATGATAATCGTAACCGAACCGTGAGACTAGTGTAGGTTCACTGCTCTAATAAATATGTTAACCCATTTAGGCCCTGTTTACACTGCCAGTTAAATGTGACCCAATTCTGATTTTTTTTGCTCATGTGACGCAGATCGGTTCAGTTCTATGAGCATGTAAAAAAAACACATGCATTCAGATATTCAGAGATGGGTTTCAAGCCTCCTTCATATGTGGAAATAAATCAGATATGTGACTATCATGTAAATGTATAAAACATAATGGCTCAATAAATCCGATCTGCCTGTCATAAAACTTGTGACAATGTTGTACATCTCCGTGGTTTAATGATGTTGAAGGAAGAGCCTGTGTGGAGACGAAACTCGGTAAACAACAACAGAAGAAACATGGAGGAGGAAAGTGGTCAGTTGGCGCAATTTCCTCCCACCAGACCGGAGATCTCTCTCGTATCTACAAATTCCTCTGAAAGTTGGAGGGCACCATATATAAACCATAGCTACGATGATGGCCCTTTCCCTCCTCGGGAAGGCGATCTTCACATATTTGAGCCTTTACGTATGTGCGACGTCGTAAATTGTATGGCGAGTGTAAATACATTTATCGGATATGGGTCACAATTATAAGAATGTGTAAACAGACAGGCAAAAAACTCAGATACACCTGACAGTGTAAACAGGGCCTTAGACACATCTCAGTCCGAGAGCAAATGCATGACAGCCCTTTTTGTCTGGCATGCTTATTAACCAATAAAGTGAGTGCAGCTTAATTCCCCCAATCAGCAATGCCCAAACCAGCCATGGGTCACGTCCACTTCAAAAAAGCAGGAGAGCTCGGTCTGCAAGCATGAGCGAGTGGTTATGGCATCTCGATTCTGAGAGGAAACAAAAACTGAGATTTTTATTTGCAGATGACTGCATATAGACCAAGCTTATATGGTTTAGAATAGATGTGGTTGTCACTCTTTTCAGCTTTGGCGAGTTTTTAGCACTGATATTAATTTTAGTTATATTATTAATTAATATGCAAATTGCTAGAATATTTGTTAAAGTAATATTTTCTGTCTTTTAGTGAATGTTTTACATGAGACCTGCTGTAGCTTTGTATACCAAGCAAGTGATTCTAATTGCATTTTTATTGTAAAGCTTAATTATAAGTTATTTTTTATTTTGTGCTAGGTTTTCAGCTCATAAAATACACTCTTAAAATAAATATGCATCCACAGATTTTTCTTTTAAGATTAAATTTTCTGCAAAATACAGCAGCAGATTCCGTCTGCTGATGTAATCTGTGATGAAGTAGAGCTCTGTCAATGCTTTTGTAAGTTGAGTTGTTAAATCTGTGTGTGTTCTGTAGGCTGTGGATCACCTAGAGTCCTTCATTGCTGACTGTGACCGCAGGACTGAACTGGCCAAGAAGCGTCTCGCTGAGACTCAAGAGGAGATCAGCGCTGAGGTGGCGCAAAAGGTATGAAGTTTTTCAGATAACATTTTACAAAAACTATTTAGGCTAAATAATCAAATTGTATTTTAATTGCTGTTTTGCTTATATAATCAAGGTATCTGGCTTAAAACTGCTGTTGTGGTGTTTTATTTGTACTGTATAAAAAGCACTACTGGACATTATAAATGTGTGCTATGTGTTTTTGACAGGCAGAAAAGGTTCACGAGCTAAACGAGGAGATCGGGAAGCTGCTCGCAAAGGCTGAGCAACTCGGCGCTGAGGGAAATGTGGATGAAGCGCAGGAGGTTCTGCAGGAGGTTGAGAAAGTCCGATCTAGGAAGAAAGATGCAGAGGTTAGACCATGCCCTTTATTATATCCAATTAATATATTTCCCCAGGAGCACTTCTCACACATTTAATCAGATCAGATCAGATTTATTGTCACATCATCAGCAGGGTGTGTGCTATGATGAGTGAAAAGCTTGGGTACAGTGCAAAATACTGTGACCTAAATTCAGGGCTTGACATTAACTTTTTTGATCACCAGCCACTGGGGATAGTAGTTTTACAATAGTACTAGCCACAATTTTGTTGTTGGGAATATATATTTTATACACATAAATATGACTTTGACATGCTAAAATTATTTGATTTAGATTCTGCGTTATGTCCACATGCCTCCTAATTCATTTCACTTTTTGTGTGTCGTGTATGAGCTGCTCAATAATCATGAGCCAATGAGTCATGGTTTTATTGTATTACAATTAGTTTTTGTTTCATATAATTTACAGAGCTCAAAATGAAGGATTTACCAAATTTATCTCTGACCACACCAAACATAAACAATTAATTATTTCTTAGCCACCAATTTTAAATGTGTCGAAACAAGCAAAATATAGCTGTATGCTATACTTTTTATTTAACAAAACATTTACACAGTAATCTGTCCTGGCTAAAGGTCCCAGATCACCAGTTAACTACACAAAAATAGGGAGGTAATCTCCCATTAAAGCAATGTTATTGTAAAAAATTATAATTAAACCATATTGACACAAGAAAGCGGGTAAAGAAACGTGTCCGATTAATAAAGGGATAATAATCTGTTCAAAGAATGGTTAAAGTGAAAGCTACCACTGCTGCTTACAAAAAGACAAATCTGGAGCTCTTAAAGCAGCAAGACTGTGGGTGCATGTTCATCCCTTTTTGTCTAGTCTATTTGAAAGAGAACCGATCACATCAGTTGGCTTTCTAGGCACGGTTGCGTCACGCAAGGAAACGGGAGCGCACATGCGTTTTAAGCAGCCGGCGCATCACATCAGCTGTTAGCGCAGTGATTATCCTCTCATTCGGTATTCACCTGCTTTCTTTTGCTCGTGCGAACACTATTATTTTTGTCATTACTGTTGCTTCCCCATTCTAATATCGCCTTTGCATGCATTTTGTACTAATCTTATTGTCTAACGCTGCTTTTGAGAATTGTTATCCGGGAAAATTATTTTCAACCAGCCGAAGTGGCTTGTGGGAGTGTCTGTTTTAGCCGCCAACGCTGAAATCTACCCGCATTTGGCAAGTTGGTGGGTGTTAATGTCAAGCCCTGCCTACATTTGAGGCTATATACAGTATACAAATAATACATTGTAAATACTGTACATAAAACTTTGCAAAATGCAATGACCCAAGACAACATATTTATGTACACAAGTGCACTGTGTACATAAATAGACAAGAAATATGTAAAAATACACCTGTTACACGCATATAGACAAAGATTTAAAACTTACCATCTAATATCTCTTTTCTTCTATGGTAATTGTCTGGATGTTTGTTTATCAGCTGTGCATTTTCTCTGTAAATGTCACTTTCAGGAAGAGTACAGGAACTCTATGCCCGCATCTAGTTTCCAGCAGCAGAAGTTGCGTGTCTGTGAGGTTTGCTCCGCCTACTTGGGTCTCCATGACAACGATCGGCGTCTCGCTGACCACTTTGGTGGGAAACTACACCTGGGCTTCATCCAGATCAGAGAGAAGCTGGAGCAGCTGAAGGTAATGGGTCAAACCCCAAAATTTGTTTATTACCTGCTTCGGATGTAAAGCTAACATTTTGTTCATACGTTAATGATGAATGGGATCAACATTTAATTAACAAACTTCCTGAAATTAGCTCTAATGTTGGAAATGGAAACCTTGATGGGATCAGATCATTTTTACCCATTGTAGAATCAGTCAGTCCATAAGTTCTTAATTCTTGGAGAAGATCCTCCCATGTGCTTTATTTGTAGTAGCACTTTACCTATGAAGCATGTTTTATTAGATTGTGTTGGTTTTACTTCTGTGAGAAATTATTTATTTTACCCAGTGCAGTCTTTTAAAGAGATTTTTAACAGTGTTAATCTGAATACAGCTTTAGATTTTTTTTAGTAAAAATTAATAGTTAAACCTCAATCTCTCAATATTTCTATTTCCTCGCCATGAAAATGGCCATTGAAGCTGACATCGCGTAAAACTAGGTGCTGGTCTGCCTAAACCACAGCTCACAGCTTTATAGAGTGCTGTAATAACACTTGTTCTCTACAGAAAACCGTGCAGGACAAACAGGAGAGGAGAAACCAGGAGCGGCTGAAGAGAAGGGAAGAGCGGGAGAGAGAGGAGAGGATGAAAAAGAGGTGAGAAAAGTATTGCATCTGTCACCTTCATAGATGGACAACATACACTGTCATATAGACTTGAATTTAAAGAGATACTTGAATAAACGTGTTTGAGTCAGATCACAAGCTCAATTTCGAAATTATTTTATTTCATTATAAACTTATAAATATTTAACTTAATATTTAATAAATGTTTAAAATAAGAATTCATTGGTATTTTGGGGGATGCACTGTGATTCTTTAAGGCAGAGGTTCCCAAACTTTTCAGCCTGCGACCCCTAATATGACGATGCCAGTGACTCGCGACCCCCAATATCCTGGTTATGAATACAGAAACCTTACATGCAATGTCACACACACACCAATACATTCTTCGTTTAATGTCAGTGCTGTAATGGGCCAGAAACTTTAACCTGGTGTTATAAAATCAATCTGCTGCATCTGACGCTATTGCTGTGTCTTTAATATAATGTAATTACCACTGGGGTCTATAAGCTACTAAGTAACTATAAGCTACTATAGTAACTATATAGTAATTATAAACGACTATATTTTTCTTTTCAGTAGGTTATGGATAAAATATGGTCATTCTTATATGATTTAATAATAATAATAGATTTTTTTAAATCACCAGGCGACCCTCCTTCATTGTCCCTTGACCCCTTTAGGGGTCCCGGCCCCCCACTTTGAGAACCCCTGCTTTAAGGGACAGTTCACTTTTTTCTTACCATTTACTCACTCATGTGGTTGTAAACTTTTATGCTTCTGAACACAACAGCAGATATTCTGTGGAATGTTGATAAAAGGCAGCCATTGACACCCATAGTAGGAACAAAATGTATCATGGAAGTCTAACATTTCAACTATCTCTTTAAGTTGAAGAATTTAAACAACGTTTTATTTTCTATGAACTTTTAAAGTGTTTTCAGCTCAAAGAAATCCGTTGTTAAAAAGGGAATTGTTTGAGTGTGTAACATGGTTTGAGTATAAATATACATGGTTTGAAAATTCTCAGTATTGACCAAAATAACCATGTTTGTCTGGTTTTCTCTGTAGGACAAGATCACGCAGTCGAGATCGCAAGAGGTCAGTATTAATCCAGTAATGTTCAGTTAATATAGGGGGGGGGGGGGGGGAATTCTGTGTAATAACACTGACACGAGGAGAGCACTAAATGACTGAAATGTATTTAGCACTTTATGTCAAAGGCTTTTTTTTTTTTTTTAAATAATGACAGCTTAAACGCACCTCATTTGGAGAATGAATTCACATGCATTGCTCAGGTGTGAGTTTCTCACAGACCTCAAAGTGTCAATCTTGATGCTTCGGTGGGTCTTGTCTATCAACTCTGAGCTTTACTTCAGGCCATTGGCTGGGCCATTCTCCAGGTTGAAATTTTTTTTTTCTCTGAAAGCATTTGAGTTTCCTTGGCTGTGTTTTGGATCATTGTCTTGCCGAAATGTCCGTCTTGGCTTCATCTTCATCCTCCTGCTGATGTAGATGTTGAACTGAAGCAGCTGATATTCATTTACACTGAGGAAGGGCAGAGGGTTACTGAAATACTACTGAGAGATTTCAGCTGCTGTCTGGGCTTACCCTGCCTTTTTATACCTTCCTTCCTTCATGTGTTCAAAGCTTTTCCCTTTGTCATTTCATTTTTTTTAATTAGATTAGTTTTTGTTGCATATTTGGATTTCTTTGGTGGTTAACAACATCTGGTGAAAATTTCATGTCAACAGCACCTTTAGACATGTTTTTCTGAGAAAAATGGTGACGTGTTCAATACTTATTTCCTCCACTGTACTCTACTCCACATATATTATCTTTTATCTTATTTTACCCTTGAATGTGTAACTAAATCAATGCTTAAGTCTGTTTAACTGATTATAGTTTAATTACTTTTACAACATTCATGCTGTTAAAGGAACCTCATGAAATGAACCTTTTACTGGAGGTTTGTCGGTAGACTGTGCATATACGCCATTGCAAAGAGATTTATTATAAAATAAAGGTTTTATGCAAATATAAGGTTGTCTGTTTCTTCTTTTTATAGGTCTCGTTCCCGTGAGCGTGATCGAGAGCGCAGACGCCGGCGTTCCCGCTCCGCTTCACGAGAGAAACGCCGTTCTCGCTCTAGATCCAAAGAGCGTGACAGACGCCGACGACACCGATCCCGATCCAGATCCCGCTCACGCCACAGCAGAGAACAGTCACACAAGTAATGCTTGATTTCTTTTTTTAATATACATATTAAAATGTTATATATGTTTTATATTGTTTTAGCATAGGAAAATAAACGATAACATTACATAGAACAGAAAGAGCACTAGAGAAATAATACACTTTATTTTTTAAATGTTTTAGATTCGCGGATGGACATTTACTTATAGGGGGCGTATAATGCAAAAATCACTTTTTATAGGAGGTTTAAACCCAGTTGTGTGGCAGCATTGTGTGAATATAGCCAGCCTTTACTAGTAAAATTTTTTTATTTTTTCTACAGTCTGCAGAAAGACTTTAACAATCTCCATTTGTATGTGTCATCAGAGGGGGAAAGCCCCGCCCACTAGTGCCCTTCTCTCCCTCATTAGCAAAGGAAGTCAGTCTTGTTTTGAATCTGCCACTATGCTGACACACAGGCATTTGTAGCCCCGCCCCCTTTATTTATTTTTTATTTTTGTCAAAAAAATCATCATTTATTTACATTTACTAGATTTTTTTTTTACCAGCACCAACCTTGATGACTAAAACTCTTTAAAAAATTAACAAACAAAAAAAAGTAACATCACTGATGTTTTTATTTTTTATTTAATTTTTTTTAGTCATCGGTTGTTTTGATACATAAGCACATAAACACAGTCTCAGTCATGCAGTGGGAAAGTAAAAAAAAAAAATGGGGAGATATACAAACAAGTAAACATGGTAGTACAGTCAGGATAGACAGTCTGGATATAAAAAAAAAAAAATATATATATATATATATAAATATATATATACCATAGAGTAGAAAATCAGGTGAGATTATTGATGTAATGCCAAAAAGGTGTCTATAGCTGCCAGAAGTCATCTATCTGACTTTTGATGTGCATCATAAGTGAGTTTTTCAAGTGGAAATAACGCACATACTTGAGACAACCACATTTCAAAGGAAGGCACCTGAGGAGATGACCACAATAAAAGTATACATTTCTTTGCCAGTTAGACCAAAATTTAAAACAGGTGTTTGGTGTGGGGGTCTGGCACATTCTCTACTACATCATACAACAAATACAATTCTAGAGAAAAACAGAACTTTATCTGAAAGAGAAAAAGAAAATGATGTGTTTTCCTCCAAAAAGAGATGATTTTGTCACAATCCCAAAAACAGTGAAGGAATGTTCCTTTGCCTTTTCTGCAGTTACAACAAAGATCAGAGGAGTTTCTATAAATCTTTTTCAGACGCAAGGGTGTGAGATAAACTCTGTTAATGAATTTATAATTGAGCTCTTGAACACCCAATGAAGTACATTTAGAATACAAGTTGGTGCATATTTCAGACCAATCCGTGTCTTTAATTTAGTGACCCTAGTCTTTTTCCCACACACACTTCAAACTCAAAGGAAGAAGTACATGAGTTTGACAGAACTTTATATATTTTGGAAATTAGCCCCTTGGCAAAACTGTTTGATACAATTTGCTCCATGGCTGCAAGTTCAAATGTCAGTTTACCCATTTCAGACAAAGATTTAATGAAATGACTCAGCTCAAGGTATTTAAAACCATTGGATTGTGGTATATCATATTGATTTTAAATTTCTTGGAAAGATTTAAGTGTACTGTCTGTGAAGAGGCACGATCATTTTTGAATCCCTGATTTGTAGCTCCGCCCTCTTTTTAAAATCTCATTTGAATTTTATGTAAAATTTGCATATTCATGCCAAACCTGAAGACATTTTTTTATCCTGACAGTGAACTGATGCTTTAAATAAATAGCAAACTCTTATGTTGAACTAAGCTGATTCCTGTGTGTCTTCAGGTCTTCACGAGACCGTGATCGCGAGAGGGACACCAAGCGCAGCTCATCCGAGCGGAGATCAGACGGGCTGAACGGCCGGACAGAATCTCGTCGCCATGACGACAGAGAGGCCGGAGAGATCTGAATCATCTCACGTTACCATAGCGAACACCCAGACCCATACATACATGCATATCCCCACTTTTATATCCATCATGTTTGCCTCGTCCATAGTAAACTGCCCACGTCCTCCTCCATCACAGTCCTTGTAGTCTTTAATATCTCAGTCCAGTGAGCGCTGCACCCGTCTCATCCACTGTGCTGAAATGAAAGGTGTAGCTTTGAGTTCTGTTTATTTCTTTTAAACAAACGTCTACTGCCGTTTTTTTTGCCCCGTCATGATGTCCGTCGCCGTTTACTTCTGGAATGTAGATTTGGTTTGTTCTGAGGGAATGTGTGCATGTTGTTTTTGTTCTGAAAGCTGTTCTGAGGTCAGTTTAAACGCCCCTTCCTTTAAATCTAGCTCCATTGTTTTCCCCATAGAGAGAGAGAGAGAGAGCTGTAGGAGATGACGAAATCTGAACAAGCGTGTTCTTGAAGTGTTGCTTCAGATTTATTATGTACATGATCTTTTATAATGCCGTTTTGATTTCATGTCCTCCTTATTAAAGTGCATTAAATGGTTTTATGAATTGAAGTGGTGTTTGTTGTGAATGGGGGCTCTTGCTGTTGTGAAAGGTGTGTCATTTACCTGAATCTGTTTGGTATTAATATAGAAATGACATATTGCAACATGAGTTTGATTCCATCTCGAGGATGGAGGAAAGTCCTTACCCCTGGTGGAGGAGTTCAAGTATCTCAGGGTTTTGTTCAGGAGTGAGGGAAGGATGGAGTGTGAGATTGACAGGAGGATTGGTGCAGCTGTAATGCGGTCAATGTGTTGGCCGGTTGTGGTGAAGAAGGAGCTGAGCCAAAAGGCAAAGCTCTCGATTTACCGATGAATCTACAATCCTGCTCTCAGCTATGGTCATGAGCTTTGGGTGATGACTGAAAGAACAAGATCTTGGATACAAGTGGCCGAAATGAGTCTTCTTCACAGGGTGGCAGGGCGCATCCTCATAGACGGGGTGAGGAGCTCGGAGTAGAGCCGCTGCTCTTCCACATCCAGAGAAGTCGGCTGAGGTGGCTCGGGCACCTGTTTCGGATGCCTACCTAGAGAGGTGTTCCAGGCATGTCCCACGGGGAGGAGACCTTGGGGGACACGCTGGAGGAACTATGTGTCTCTGCTGGGCTGAGAGTGCCTCAGGATCCTCCGGTGGAGCTGGAGGAAGTGTCTGGGGTTCTGTCCTAAGACTGCTGACCCTGAAAAAGCGAATGAAAATTAATAAATGAATTTAATTGCATTTAGAAAAAATTCACATGTTTTTTTTTTTTGCACCTACAATATGATGCAAAAAACGAACTTTTTTTTATTCTTCATGAAACTAAAAACAAAATTCAGGCTGATTTTGGAAGTTTTGTGTAATTGTACATATGAGAAAGACTAAATTTCACGTTTTTCTAGGAGAATTAGAGACATTTGATGTATTTTTATATTACTGTCCATGGCTAAATTATGTAGTTACATAAAAAAAATAATGTTAAAGGAAGAAATTATGGCATTTTTTGTAATTATTAATTTAAAAATGAGCAATTAAGTCTTATGAGTTATTTAAAGGTCAAATTAAAAGGTAAAAAATAGAAATGTCATACTTAAAATCATACAAAAACTCAAAAGTACGATTAGCTTAAGTAGAAATTAAATCATTGCACAATATCTTGAACATTTTTAGTTATTAAATTAATCATCACAAAGAAACTGCAAATGTAGAGTAATTAATGATAAAACTAATGAATTATGTATTATAATTATTCACATTTGTTTACATATACTTTTCTACTTGTCGACTGTTCATGTTGTCCTCATTAAAGTGCATTATATGGTTTATGAACTGAAATGGTGTTTGGTGAATGAGGGCTCTTTTACTGTTTCTTAATGTTAATATATTATTTATCTGAATGTGTTTGGTGTTCAGCAGGAAATAACATTACAACATGAATTTGAGTACATTTATTATTATTCACATCATTTTCAGCAAACTCATTGTTTTGCACCTAAAATATGATGCAGCTATTTTGGGGGGACTTTAAAATATCTCTAAACAAAAACTGAATACAAAATTCACATTTTTACAGAAGAATTAGAGACATTTGACTTATTTTTATAATAAAGTCTATGACTAAATTATGTAATTACATGAAAAAAAAATTTAAAGAAGAAATGACGGCATTCTTCATAAATGTTAATTAAAATGAGCAATTATGGCTTACTCTGAGTTATTTAAAGGTCAAAATTATAAATAGGGTATTAAAAAAAAGAAATGTTATACCTAAATCAAAATTAGAAGTGATAAGAAAGCACATTATCTTGAACATTTTTAAAGTTTTAAAATTAATAATCACAAAAAAACTAAAATGTAGAGTAAAAATGATGATAACACTAATGAATTATATATTATCATCATAATTATTCACATTTTGATTCATGTATTTTTTCTACTTGTCTTACTTGTCGACTGTTCATGTTGTCCTCATTTAAGTGCATTATATGGTTTATGAACTGAAATGGTGTTTGGTGACTCTTTTACTGTTCTTTAATGTTAATATATTATTTTTCTGAATGTGTTTGGTGTTCAGCAAGAAATTATATTGCAATCTGAATTTGAGTATGTTTATTATTAAATTATTCACATCATTTTAGCAAACTCATTGTTTTGCACCTAAAATATGATGCAGCTTTTTAGGGTGACTCTAAAATGTCTCTAAACAAAAATTAAATACAAAATGCACATTTTTACAGGAGAATTAAAGACATTTGATGTATTTTTATATTAAATTATATAGCTAAATTCTATAACTACATGAAAAAAAATATTTAAAGAAGAAATTAAGACTTTTTTTGTAATTCTTAATAAAAAATGAGCAATTATGGCTTACTCTGTTACTTAAAGGTCAAAATTATAAATAAGGTATTAAAGTCATAAGAATTAAAAGTCATTAGAAAGCTCAAAATTATATGCTGAAGTAGAAATTAAGTCAGTTATTTATATTTTTATTACATGCTTTTCTAGAACACTTTTTAAAATGTGTAACCGGAAAAAAACGTGTAAAATGTAGAATAAATAATGATAATAATCAAGCATTATTATTATAACTGTTTTCATATTTATTTATATATTTTATCTAATTATTATTATTATGAAATTAAACTCCTGCACGTCGCCGACAGGTGGCGTTATTACGTTGGCAACGAGCTTCCGATCGTCACCTCCGGCGACGTCACAGTGACGGCAGAGTCAAAACAACCGAAACATGATGCTAGCGTCTCACACCCGCGGGTAAAATGTCGTGTTTTTGAGGATCGCCGATGAAAACGTCGGACATTTGTCATCTTAATGTCATGATCGAGTCGGAATATGAGTTTGGCCGCGTTTCATTCGCTATCAGGGATCCAAAAGTGATCATCAAAGCACCAGTGTCGCTACCGGTTTGCTAACGACAGGCGTCAGTCCAGCAGTCAAACCCGGTACGCCTCAAATAATCCATATTTCATATTCAAACCATCTGATTTAATCTCTAAGCGTGTTTATTCTCAGCGCTGACCTGGTTGTTAGCTTGTAAAGTGTGTGTGAATGTGCTTATGTGTCAGGCACAGGAGTTTAATTTCTGATCGACGTGAAATTACATTTACTCGTTGGTAGTGCTTAATTTTAGTGATTAACTGTTGGATTGTGTGTGTTTTAAGTTCACAGAGCTGCATAAAGAGTCATGAATGATTTCACACAACTGTCAGTGTCCAGATGTGTGTTACTGTTGTCCAGATGTGTGTGTGTGTGTGTGTGATGTACATTAAACAATTCATTTTAATCATTTCTACTATATGAACAGCAGCTCTACAAAAGGTGCACGTTAATACATTTCAATCAAAATCAGAAAAATGTAGAGTATACACTCACCGACAGGAGCTTAATGCATTTAGGCATGTAGACATGGTCAAGACGATCTGCTGCAGGTCAAACCGAGCATCAGAATGAGGAAGTAAGGGGATTTGAGTGACTTTGAACGTGGCATGGATGTTGATAACAGACATGCTGGTCTAAGTATTTCAGAAACTGCTGATCTACTGGGATTTTCACGCACAACCATTTCTAGGGTTTACAGAGAATTCTCCGACAAAGTGGAAATATCCAGTGAGCGGCAGTTCTGTGAGCACAAATGCCTTGTTGATGCCAGAGGTCAGAGGAGAATGGCCAGACTGGTTCCAGCTGATAGAAAGGCAACAGAAACTCAAATAAGCACTCGTTACAACCAAGGTCTGCAGAAGAGCATCTCTGAACACACAACACGTCCAACCTTGAGGCGGATGGGCTACAGCAGCAGAAGAGCACACCGGGTGCCGCTCCTGTCAGCTAAGAACAGGAAACTGAGGCTACAATTCACACAGACTCACCAAAACTGGACAATAGAAGATTGGAGAAACGTTGCCTGCTCTGATGAGTCTCCATTTCTGCTGACACATTCAGATGCTCGGGTCAGAATTTGACGTCAACAGCATAAAAGCATGAATCCATCCTTCCTTGTGTCAGCGGTTTAAGCTGGTGGTGGTGGTGTATTGGTGTGGGGGAGATTTTTTTAGCACACTTTGGGTCCATTAGTACCAATTGAGGGTCGTGCAAGTTTTTGCAAGATACTTGTATTCAGCATTTAAAGGCTTAATTATGTTAACTAGGCAAGTCATTGTATAATGATGGTTTGTTCTGTAGCTAATTGAAAAATATCTTGATTTCTGTAGCGCTTTTACAATGCAGATTGTGTTAAAGCAGCTTAACATAGAAGATTATAGTGATATAGTGATAGTGTAAACTGTCAGTCCAGTTTTCAGAGTTGGAGTTCAGTTTAGATTAGTTCAGTGTGGTTTAATATTCAATACTGAGAGTTCAAACACTGAAGAGCAAATCCATCGATGCGCAGCTCCACAATTCCCAAACCAAGCAAGCCAGTGGCAACAGCGAAGGAACAATCTTCACCAATTGACGTGATTGAAGTGAAGGAAAAAACCTGGAGAGAAACCGGCTCTGTTGGGCACGACCATTTCTCCTCTGACCAAACTGCAGAAAAGCAGTCTAGGCGCCGGAGGCTGGAGAACGCTGGATGTCCATCGTGGAGAAGATGCAAGTGTGAGTAGGTCACCGGCGTGTGTTCAGGCTGGCCCACTTGATAAATGTGAGGACTTGTTTGTCACTGGGGTGATTCAGGCATCAGTCTTATGCTCTCAGCTCCTCCATGACAACCACAATATCTGCCAGGCCCGGATTGGCGAACCGAGAGAATTCCTGGTGGGTCGGTCCGTTTTTTGGCCGTGAGGGCCAGTGTCCCTAGCTGCTTGCACTCTCAGCAGTCACACTTTTTTCATTTATTTATTTATTAATTTGACCATAGCCTCACTCTTTTTTTTTGTTTTTCATTATTTTGCCGCAGCGCCGCTCTTTTTATTTATTTTTTTTCTTGCTGCTCCGTGAGCAAAATGCAGCCTGCAGGTTTACTAACGTTAATGATGATGTAACTAATCATTCGACCCCAAACAGTGGCACCTTAGTG